CGCAAGCTTGCGAAGAATAGTCCCAGGCGGTCGCCTGAGGGGGAAGATCGACGTGCGAGCTCCCAGTGCCGGAGCTTGCGGAGACGCGCTACCTTCTCGGGAAGATCTCCTGGAGGCTTTCGATCGGTTAGCGTGCTTCTGGAATCTCCGGATCGGCGTGTCACAGGGAACGATCGTTACGAGCTTATCAGACTGGATGCGTCGCGGGAGAAGCACGCGTGGTGCTTGCGTAAGCAGTCGCATGCGTCGATGAGACAGCTTCGTGCTTGCGCTCCGGCAGTTGCCAGGAAGAGCCACGACGAAAAAGTCCGGGACCATAAGAAGATAGACGCTGAGCGTGCGAGAAAAGCTCATGTGTATGTTTAATCGAAGTGCCCGATGAACGAAACCTGGCCGGTATTCGTTTCTCGGGCAAGTGACAAACACCTTTTTTTGTTCTGACACGAAGCACGGCGAGCTTTCAAAAAGTAAAGCCGAAAAGCTGCGGACGCTCTTCTTTCGTTGACTGTTTGGTGTTTACTCGTAAGCATTTTCTCCTCTATTCTATAAGTGGCTCTGACGAAGCTTCACCCCTACGAATTTCAACTTGACGAACGTGAAGGAGAGCTTACGATTATAATTTACGAAAATTTTGTAGCAAGGAATGAAATTCTCATCTTCTCAGCCAATTGGCATTCGTAAGCTGGATGATATTTTAAAAAAACCTCGTATCTCGATACACAGTGTCTTAAATAATATTCTGTGGAGAGCTCTACGCGTGATCTTCATCTACTACAACATGTATAAGAGAAATTTTACAGAAACCCTTAATCTTCTCGCAGAATTCTAAACGTATTTTCTCAAGTGTCATGTGATCGTCTTCAGCCTTTAAAGAAAAAAAATCTCATCATTAAAAAGAAAAACGTTTCGTTACTTGTTATGTGAACTCGTGAGGTTTGAACGTGAAATCGGCTCGATAGGGATACCCGTCGAGTCTCATCGACGAGCGATGTCGTTGATAGTCGTTTTTTTGAAGAGTGCACTCATATCTATATAGGGACCCGACGGAGAGCTCGCAAGCTCGAGAATGTAGTATCCTAGTGGGCGCTTGCTGGCGGAGACTCAAGCTCAGGCTTTCGCGGCGGCCAAGCGAGTCGAAACAGGTGGAAGATCTCCGGCGCGATACTCTGAAGAGTACCACACCAAGAGCTATCGCGTGACTATCGATGATGGTGGAAGGCACGTTGCCAGAACGCGATTGGTTGGCCCGGCGCGCGTCTCCGCTCGGCTCGTGCTTTGCTGCATGCCGATCATCACTTCGCTAAGCTCGATATTTCCTCGAGAGGTCGAGTTGGAGAAACGAGGATCTTGAGGAATGCCAAGCGTGAAATGACGATCTTCGGAATCGTGCCCGATTCTAAATCGATGTCATCCTCATCGTCGCGATGTTGGAGAGACAAACGCTGTCTGGTCAGTTAATTACGTCTCTCCGGTGCGACTCGCGATCCTATAAACGGCGAATGTCGCGAGGCGCGACGGTCTCGGTAAGAAACCATTTCGATATTCGCATTTTAGAGAGCAAATGTGATGACAAAAAATCTTCAGAGAAATCGAATTTGTTTTTCCCGCAAGAAAAAGCTTTGTTGAAAAAATTAAGTATACGCAGCCGCGACGAGTAGATAAATAAATAGAATTCGTAGATAAATAAGCAAAATAAATAGATGGAAGTAGAAGGGTTGCTGATAGCAAGGAAGATAGAAGATGTAGATCTTGGATTTATGAGCTAAGATCAGATTAGAGGAATGTTAGAAACCGAGAAGAACTTGAATTAAAAATAGAAATTAGCAGTGTGATCGTTTTTTGAGAGAGATCTAGGGCAATAATCGTACTACTGATCGCGCGGCGGACTTGAAGAAGCATGAATCAAACAAACGTCAGTTTGAGCTGACGTAAGAAGAATCGGCGGCAAGAAGCGGCGTGTTCCATACCATAAATTGAAGGAAAGGAAGCCTTTAAGTTCCAAGAATTTATTGAATTTGAATGTAAAAGAGATTTTTTGGAAAGTTGCCAAGTCGCAAATGCAAAAAGTTGTTTCAAGTTTGTTGCAAGAAAGATATTTGAAGCACAATCATCGAGGCAGCGACAAATATTCGAGTGGCGCACGGTTTCAATTCATAAATGTCGAACCAGCGAAGAAACGCTCTACACAAGAATCTATTGCCCAAGCAAGTATCCATCGTAAGCGATCGATGTGGATCGAATCATCAATGTTAGACTACTCATAGATGTAGATGTCGTTATTCTGAAGAAAAGGATTCTAGACTTGAAGTTGAAGATTGATTCGGCGTGATAGAAGCGGAGCGTGCCGCCGATACGCTTCGGGTACGGTCAACGCTGGCTCTCCCGCTACCCTGAAGGAAGATTCCACCTTCAAATATGGCCTCGGTGGCAGCGTGGCTGCCATTCGCCCGTGCAGCGGCGATCGGCTGGGTACCGATCGCCACACACCCACTGCCACCGCCGCCGATCCCGAAGGATCGGCGCAAGGCCGACGATGAGAAGCTATTAATCAACGTGAGCGGTCGTCGCTTCGAGACGTGGCGTAACACCTTGGAGAAGTATCCGGACACGCTGCTCGGCTCGAACGAACGCGAATTCTTCTACGATGAAGAGAGCAAGGAGTACTTCTTCGACCGGGATCCGGACATCTTCCGGCACATTCTCAACTATTATAGAACTGGGAAATTACACTATCCGAAGCACGAGTGCCTGACGAGCTACGACGAGGAATTGGCGTTCTTCGGCATCCTGCCGGACGTGATCGGTGACTGTTGTTACGAGGATTATCGGGATCGCAAGCGCGAGAACGCCGAGCGGCTGATGGACGATAAGCTGAGCGAGAATGGCGATCAGACCCTCCAGCAGCTGCTCGACATCCGGCAGAAGATGTGGCGAGCCTTCCAGAATCCGCACATCTCCACCGCCGCGTTGGTGTTCTACTACGTTACCGGGTTCTTCATCGCTGTGAGCGTGTTGGCGAACGTGGTGGAGACCGTGCCGTGCGGCAATCGTCCGGGCCGCGCCGGCACTCTCTCGTGCGGCGAGCGTTACAAGATCGTGTCTTTTGCCTGGACACTGCATGCGTGATGATCTTCACAGCCGAGTACCTGCTGAGGCTGTTCGCCGCGCCCAGCCGGTGCAAGTTCGCGCGCTCCGTGATGTCGATCATCGACGTGGTCGCGATACTGCCGTACTACATCGGACTCGGGATCACCGACAACGACGACGTATCGGGCGCGTTCGTGACGCTGCGGGTGTTCCGCGTGTTCCGTATCTTCAAATTCTCGCGTCATTCGCAGGGACTACGTATCCTGGGCTACACTCTAAAGTCCTGTGCCTCCGAGCTGGGTTTCCTCGTGTTTTCGCTCGCGATGGCCATCATCATCTTCGCCACCGTCATGTTCTACGCGGAAAAGAACGTCGACCAAACCAACTTCACCTCGATACCCTCCGCCTTCTGGTATACCATCGTCACGATGACTACGCTGGGGTAAGTGTATTTCTTCATTGATTTTTATAATGATACATCGTGACGAATCTATTATGCGTCAGTTGCATACAATCACGCAATCACGTTGCAAATATTACATCAGTAATTCTCTTCTCGAACAAGAACTATAGTTTTTACTTATTTAGTTTTATTTGAATTAATATATTATGTGATATACGTATATATATTCACGTCATTATTTGAACAAATATGAATATCTTGTTCCTTTTTCTTTAGAGCGAATTGTAATATACTTTCCACGCTTGTCATGCAAGAATTGTTTCTTGCAAATGAAATATTCTTTCTATATTTCTTTTCTGCACGTATATGTGTTAATTTTTATTTCAAATTAAAATTATTTAATTTTAATGTATTTATATAATTTTAATCGATTTTATGCCATCTTCGAGTACGAAATAAAATATAATTATAAAATTATATAAAATATTATAAAATAAAATAAAATAAAATGAAATTTTTTATAAAATATTATAAAAAAATTATTACAAAGCGACAAATGACGCGCGTATAAATATTTAGATTGAATTCAATGAAACTTCTTTATTGAGAGATCATCGATAAATCAATCTTTGCAAATTTTACATTTATAACTTGTTTAATTTAACGCAGTGATAGAATGCACTTACAATGCAACAAGCTATGTATTCTTGTATATAGTAAGTGAATTGTTCCATAGTATAAGTGAATCGGTCGAAATGTATGAAAGTTCGAGTATTTGACACAATCTGGTGACCAACTTTAGCATCGTTATAACTTTTTAACGAGATCGTCACAGTCCCTTGCCTATATCTAAATTTTTTCGCGCGGAACTTTGACACTTAGTGTTTTTGCACTTGGAATTATTTCGATAATGCGAGTTTCTATGTATGCTTTATCGCATTTTCAAACTTTCTGAGATTATTATTGCTTTGGTATTCGAGTCATTTGTAAAATCGAAAATTATAAATTAAAAATTTAGATATTATAAAAATATTATTAAATACTAGTAACTCTTAGATTTTACAGTATTACGGTATCTATTTTTACGTATTACTGAATTGAGCTTAAAAATATTTTATAATTTGTAAATATAAATTTGTACAATAAAATCTATAAAAATATCTATTAAAACAAATCTATTAAAATCTTTAATCTAAAAAAAAGATTTTAAAATTGAACGTAAAAAGATCTGTTTTATTAGATCTTCTATCATATTTTTAGAGAAGTTAACTTAACTTAAATTTGCCAAATATTTATTGTACATGTTATTTATGTATGCGATTATATACTATGAATTTATATAGCATATAAGGCTCTATCGTGAGCCTAATTATACAGCTTATTGAATGAATGTAGCAAATTCAGTGGAAATATTGGCGTGGTCCGAAGCCACATATTCCCGTGGAATTTATTGGTCTATAAAATCTCCCCTTTCTCCCCATTCTGTAGATTTTCTTTCTCCTCTTGATATTGGAAATCGGGCGCCAGCAAAAAAAGTCTTAGACGCGTTTCTTCCGTGAGCGCGAAAACGCGCGCGCGCGCTCAGTGCTGAAGAAGCGCCGGTTCTTTCTCTATTTCACGACACGGTCGCTATTTCTACCCGGCCGAATCTATGCCAATGGTATTTTTGTTACGTTTTCGCTCGGACAGCTGACAATCACGCGTGTAACCCGAGTCACCGAAGATCGCCCGGTAGTTGCACCTACTTGTTACCATTCGTGTGATTTGAATCAAGTTTATCTAAATCGCGCCTCGCTAATTGCGATTTTTTTTTTCTATTTATATCGCAACGAGTATTAGATAATTCTAGTCTCTTTCTCTTCGAGAACTCTTCGAAGAGTTGGCAAGTCAATTAATTTTGCATTAACCATCAAGCACGAACGCTGCGAGAAAGAATTGCAGACAATAATCATTGTTGAATTGGATAGAAATAGAGTATGATCTCTTTTTGTAAAAAAATTTGAAATATGACTAGCTTTAGCTTGACTTATGAAATTCATTTAATTGCATTAATCGAAAAATATTGTTTATTTTATACTCTAATATTTAATTTGCCAAATCGCTTTAATTTTGAGTTTTTTTCGACGCTGCATCTATACATATCACAAGATTACAAGAACCACCATTATTCTTAGCTTCCTTAACGTCCTTCAACATCCAAATAGAAAGGTGTGGCAATAGTTATACGGCACTTTATATGCAAATCGCATTCCTCAAATAATTTCATGCAAAACTATCTTGTCTAACGTTATCGCGCGGACGAAGTGCGAGCATGCAGTTTCATGGAAGATCGAGTCTTTCCTTTAGAGCACCGGATGAGGCTCATAAAATAGAGCTAAAGATAATCTCGACAGATCTAGATCCGGATTTAATGAATAATGTGATGTCGGGGCGAGCAGGAAAAATCTGATTTGTCGATAGAGCCGACGGCGTGTCGCGCTACTTTTTCGTGTATCGGCGCCGCCTGAGCGTTTGCCTTGCGTGTCTGCAGGACCAGAACAGGTCACTTTCTTCAAACTTTAATGAGAAGGATCAACAGGTGCCTCGAGGGTTCGTCTAGTCACACGTGATCCTTTTTTTAATCTACACCGGCCGAATAATGGCCGTCGATACGAATTAGCTTCGACTCAGGCTTACGCGGGCGAAAAAAAGGGTGAAAATTGCGGTATTAAAAATCACGCGAGAACTTTCCGACGAAACCAAACTAGTGCGCGAGATTAGTTTTGCGAAACTCTTCGCGTAGCATAGGGATTACGTAGCTCTTATATCGACTAGCGTTATCCGATTGTACTTTTAATCCTCCATTGTGCAAATCTATTTTTATTAAAGGGGCGGATATTAATTCTCGCGTACGTGGAGGACGAATATTTGAAAATAACGAAGTTAAAAAGCTTTTTGTCGCTGGAACTGTGAATTAATTTTGTAGTAACGTTTTTTCACATAAGCTCCGAGGTTACTTTTGCAGGATATAAGAAATATTTGTGCTTTAATACGACAATAATTTAAACAAATTTTTCCAGAAAATTTATCGGACGTTAGACAAGATAGTTTTGCATGAAATTATTTGAGGAATGCAATTTGCATTAAATATTTCGCTTAATTCCATAAAAGTATTTTTGTAAATAAGAATAAAATTTCCAACAGAAATATTTCAACGTGTGTCTCTCACAAATTTTTATCATGTCGTGTTTTAAGAGATATGTTTCAAAGTAGAATGGCTTTCATAAGATGTGCTAAACAGGTCAACGTTTTGACGCAGTAATAAGAGCAGCTATAAAAAAGATGGTGGTTACATTTAAATAAATCGAGAAACTGCTAGATTTGTCTCCTTGTCATTTCATATATTGTTTTGTCTGCACATTGCACGTGCGAAAATTTATCGGACTTTTTTCAAACGAATATCACATCAATGCGCGTCTTGCATCGTGATATGCAGATGCGACTCTTGATTTTTTTTGCACATGTTGTTTTTAATGTATTTGCACGTGTTTTATACATGCATATGGATAAATATTATAATGTAAAAGTGTCAAGCTGTTGGCGAACCTGTTTGAGAACGGATCGGAAACGAAAACCGTGAAAAATTCATATGACATACGACGACGCGAATGAATTTTTAATTTAACGTACGTTTGTGGTCAGTTATTGCGAATGTATCATGGTAGATGGTTTGATTATCAAAAATTCCTTGTGATTAGCAATGCTTTTTTATTTTGAATGACGTATGATGACATATAAAATGCATAATAGAAAAAATTGTCGTTTTGGATGTATTAAAAAAATGTTATCCTATTGTTCGATATTTTAAGTTTAAACTTGAACAATATTATATGTGTACTAAAATTTAATACTATATCATGCATACGTACTACGTAATACTTTTGACAATATTTTTTGACAGCTTTTTCTTTCTTAAAACAAAACGCAGAGATTTCTATAAATCTTAAAAAGAAATAGATTACATTATTATTAAAAAAAAGTTTAAGGAGAAAAAGATTTGACATTTTTTCATATTGGAAGTATTAATTAATTAGAAAGAATTAAGGTAACGAAGTGTTATGAATATATAAATTGATGTTTGAGATAGCATTCAGGGAATATTAAATTGAACTTAATTTACTGCAGCATAAAATTTGTTGCAATCTAAATTTATTTTACAGTTTTTCTTATTTTATCTTTGCAATTATTTTTAAATTTATGTGAAACTGAAATTAAAGTAAATCTTATAAGTCTTTTCGTAAGTGTATAACATGTACTCGTATACTCCAGTGGTTTTTAAGAGTTAAAATACTATCTATAAGCTCACATGAAGTAGGTAATGGTTGCCGTAAACGAAACTTAACAACATTCGAAGATAAAAGAGCTTGAACCTTTAAAGGGTTCATTCGAGATCTTGAGAGCGCCGCACATTGGACATTATTCAGTCTGCTGTAAATGGGACAGTCTCTCAAATCTCGACGTGTCGTATCATAGTACCTTATTCAATCTGCCCAGCGCACTCTATCAGCCAATCTCCCGCCAATGGAATCCATCGAGCGTGAATTCGCGTCGTGGCGTGAATAAGAATCGTGTTCGATACGACGACGATGACGATGTGTGTTTCGCAATCACGATGTATAGAATAATATATAATATCATGTAAAAAATTTGAATTTGTAGCAAAGATGTATTCATTGACAAATGTGCAGTTATATATTTTATTTGCGAAGATTTAATCAAAAACTGGATCTCTCTCTCTCTCTCTCTCTCTCTCAATCCAATTTCGGAAATTAAAAGTTTTCGACAGAATAAATTCCATTACGCGCGATTTTATTAAATCACGTATACTTCTTGATTGATTTCACGACTTAAATGTAAACTTAGTTTGGCGCACATGTTTAATCCCCCGCAATATTTTATATTTATTTAAAATGTTATTAAACTGTGATATTTTCTATTTTGTATCATAACACATGTACGTGATCTGTTATTTTCTCATTTTTCTTTATAGTCCATGATTC